AACGTCATGAATCCTTTTGCGCCTGCGTGCACAGTTAGGACTTACCTTCGGAAGGAAATGACCGTCATAAGCAATGTTTAATGCAAGTTTCGGGCTGTGACATGCCCTTACCTAGAAAAATAAAGAAGTCGCACACGTGACAAGGATCCATTAGGACTGGTCTATAACAATCGGGTGCAGTACCCAAAGTAATTTCTTTCGGAAAAAGTCTTCTTCAACATAATTCGAACAGCAGGCCCATTAAGCACTCCGTCGGGCTAATGAAAAAAAAATGATTCATCGAATATAGTGTGATTGCTTGTCAACCTCAAACCTACCTAGTTTGGAGCTCGCTTGAACCGTATGGAAAAACCCTGTATACAAACCCAATCCAGTTAAACAATTAGCATCGTATTACGTTTGATGTTACTGAGAAATGGTCGCGGTATTTATTGTGTTGTGACACTGGCGTTAGTAATGGCTGAGTCTGATATCTGAGGGTTCTTACAACAAGTTCTCGCTTTCGGTGTAGTTTATGTATTGCTAAATGTAAAGATGAATTACCTTTATGTACTTATGGAAGCAGTAGCTTTCGAGTTATGTGCGTTCGTACTTCATACATAAGATACAGGTTTGCGAGGGCCATATAAGGCGTTGTAACCTCCCAGACCGCATCTCGGTGTCTCCACAGCCTTTGACACGAAACACTGTACAGCGTAGTGGAAATTTCCAGCGGATAAAACTGAGCATCGCGATCATCTCTTCTATGCAGCGGTATTTGTCCATTCCTGCTCATTAATGTCGTCCAGCAGCCGTCACACTACAATGGTGCCAGATGTCCTCTTGAAGGCTCTCTATGTTCTGATTTTGGATATTGAGCTATTGTATGATGTTGCCTATATGTTCTCGTCTGTCTCTGAGCTGCTGCGTCCCTTTATCATTTCGTCTTATCCCCCTCCCCCTCCCCCCATCGTGCTGTTCTTGAATTCGAGCAAAGATAATCGTTGGTAGGGTATCACATGCTCCTGACAAAGTATGGTTTCTCACCGACTGTGGCACTGTTTCTAAAAACACTATTTCCGTTGTGTGTTGCTTAGAATTTGAGGGAAGAGCCAGAGGAAGCCCAGGCAGCACAAGCCGAGCGGAAGGATACGGCCGTTAGTTGGCGTCCTTGTCTTAGTGGTCTGATGCAACCGCGACGATAATTTGGAAGTGACAAGCTAAACGGGCGCATGGGAACAGTCGATCAATCGAGTCACTTATAGCAGTGATCCTTGCTGTTGCCATTTAAGTCGTTGATTCAAAGCTACCCTAGTAACGAAGTGTCGTCGGATTCGGTGGTAAGCGTCGGCGATATCGCCGGAACAGTGGCGCCTCGATCCTATATCGTTTTGCCTCCTTCAGTTGTCGTTGCGGCTCCGTTTTAGCTTCATTCGTGCTTAGTGTTCGCGTTCATTCGATTTCGTGTCTTGTTCCAAACAGAACAGAATATTCTCGATCTAAATTTCAGCTGTGGCCAATCAGAAGACCGAGGCCAAAACAAAGGTAAAAGCGGTGGTCAATTTAGCTCGTTGGAAGTAAACTAACTTGATTCTTTTTTTATCTAAAGAAGTGTTCACACATTGTGTTGCCTTTATCGCACTACAATACGAGCATTCAACCAATTAAGTTATTTGAGTGAAAAAAGCTACTGACATTAATGAGCTTCTCTGGAATAGCACCAGTATCGCGTCTATTTATTCAATGAGACATTACCCACCTATCAATTAAGTAGCTATATAGTTAGCTACTATTTTAATTGAACGTACCCAAATTAAGGATAATGCAAAACTATGTATTGGCTAAAGCGAGTGACACGTTCAGTTCTTGATTCTATGCAACAAGGCACGTGTGAAGTGAAACAGCTGAATCATCGGTGGCGCAACAATCGATGGCAGCTTAACAGAAACAAACTCCATTTCTCGAGTCACCTTTTTAAACTTTCAAGTTTCCAAAGTAACCCTTAAAAAAACCTCTACGTACATAAGCATTAATTTCGCTTATTTTTTGGCCTTCGAATCTAGCTTGTTTACAATCGAGGCTTAGTTCTCTTCTGCTCTGTACGACTACTATCAACAACAGCTCTGTCCAGGATAGCTCTGATTGGCAAAAGTTAAGTTATCGCTCCCTCAAGCAATTCTAATCTTCTTTTGTTAGTATATACAGTTGAAACATCAAAGCAATCTGAAGGTTGATGAACATGCTAGACGGCTGGCTAACGATTAATCAAATATAGTATAGCGAGAGAGAACAAAATATTAGGAACCTCTGTTATGGTCCACAAATGGACATCTTGAAGGAATAACTATGGCAGGACCTCAACAGAGAGCAGAGCACATTTGAAAATGTAAGCCGGCCTCTTAATGAGTAAATAAGTATACAATCTTCTCACTGGCTGCCCCGATCAATGAGACTAGGCACTTCAATAGACAAAAGGGATGCGTTGTCTTAAAAAACGGCACACACCTTGACATATCGATCCTTCATAGGGAGGCCGTGTTGCATAATACCAAAGATACTGGCTGACAGATATTGTGAAGCTGTTCTACGCGATCAATAACTATCACCTTAAACCCGACCTGTGGCGGATCGTCTTCCTAAGCGTCGGTTGCGATCACGTACTCGAAGGTTTTACTTTTTCAGTGAAAAAGTGTGCTCTTCTTTTTTTCCTTTTTGCTCAAATTTTGGCTTGATGCCTGTTGACGTGGCCTCACTTTGTCCTTTTAGAAACAATGGCAGCAAATGTCGCTGCTACAAGCCGCATCTTTGAGATGTGTGCACTAGCTAGATCTAAGACAAACAGTATCAGACGACGGCCGCGAGCGAGGCGGTGAGTGCATTCATGTACCGTGTGGATCGGCATAATCAGGAAACCTCCACGCTTTTCAGCGTAGACATGTACTTGCTATAGGATCGTGTTTGGGCCCTCTGGAGGTATCATTTGCTTGTTTGAAGTCTTCGTACCCAGCTTAGTTCAATTATAACGGTTGAATGAAATGCAAAACATCTATGGTACGGATAAGTACGGTTTATACTCAAGATGAATCCTAGAAAAGTTGAGAATCTATACGCACGTTGTTAGTAAGTAATAGCTTAACATTTTCGGTCGGGTTACTGGAAACGTTAGTATATGACCATCAGTTACTGTATAACGCCTATATTCGTCAATCCCTTTGGTTAAATACACTGCACTTGATCAAGTGGGACCAATATTATTTAATTCGGTCAACATATACCTACCTTCGGTGCAGCAAACATGGGTCAGGGCGCGATACCGTCCATTTACAATATCTCTACACTCTCCAAATGCTACAATATCAACCTTCCTTTCTAATATACATTTGTCTGTACTAATAATTTGCAATCACTAGAAAATAGACCAGCTCTGTTGCCGTATGCCAGTCCGTAGTAATAATCATCTTTTCACTAAACTTAAAAAAAGACACGTGAGGCGCTCTAGATTCGAAATCAGCCGTAGACGCAATTCGTCTTCTGCTGAGGGCCAGCCGTCTGAAGCAGCGCTTAAGGGGAATTTGACCTGGAGGAAAAACACAGTACTATCTCGCTGAGCTCGAAACGAGCCGCTTGAGCACGCGTGTTTTCCACGTTTGCTCGCTGTCTTCGAATCAGAGTGGTCGGATATAACAAGGTTGCTGTTATGGTAATAGTAAGTTACTTATCATAATTAAGTTTTCATGCTCTGCAACAAAGGCACACAAATTCAAAACTGAATAGTGGATTATTCGTGGTAGGGAAGCGTTTTCAAGCCTAAAATTAATGAAGAGACTTGTCTTTTGGGGAGTTCATTAATTAACTTTGTTTCAGACGTCTCACCCATTAGAAGCTTGGATGCACTTGGGTCGGTGAGGAAGTGTCTGTAAGTGTAACCATTTACTCGTTCTGCTTTTGATCACTCAAGGCACGTAATACATCGGAGAAAATTTTTAATATCTCAAAAATCGCAGCTTTACGGTTGACAGGATGCCTTCGTGTACTGTGATCACTCGATAGAAGCGACAGTTATACTTTCAGTATCCGAATGGAATATTTTCATTGGGGGTATATTGGGGGTTCACAGTACTCCTTTACAGCTAGTAGGGGAGGGCGGGTCAAAAATACTATTGTGCTTTTTCATGTGCAGTTCGTCGAAAAAGTAGGCTTATAATTATTCATATACAGCAACAGAACGGGTTTACAGCTTCATAGTGATGGCGTTAATCAAGTGATTACTCGTCATTGATTAACGAGGAACAAGTAGTCGGTAATTGGGTCGGAATTTTTGGTTATGATCGTTTGCCCTCGTATGCTATCAGTTTGTCCAAAAAATCTACATCCTTACGGATATCCGTTTTGGTCGAGGTTTTCAGCCGTTGGGGCTGCAACACGTGATATTCGTGAACATAAATCGACTTAACGTACATCCACGCTATGATATTCATGTATCACGCACGTAGTCGCTTATCTTACGCACGTTGAACGATGGGTTTCGTAGCTTCAGAATTGGCCCAAGATGAAAGTGTAAACGAGACAAAAGTAAATAGAACACGGGAAAAGGACCACTTTCGTGCTCTACATATAGTTAAGATTATAGAGAGAAGAGTAGAAAATCCTATAGACGGAGAGCTATCATAATAAAGCCCCTAGAAATAACAGTTGTAGCCAAATTCTAGTACTATCTCACATAATGCGGTTTCAACAGCATCATTGAATTTCTCAAAAGCTGCTTACTTTAGGTTTACATCTTAGCATAATATTTTGGTAAAGGTCCTGTAGCTTCGGCAAAGATACTTTGATTTCATCACACTATTTCCTATATACATATATATCTGACACAGTTAGACGGAATATTTACAATGCTCTAACAAAATCTTACACACGAACCTTCCTACGATATTATTGACTGTCTTATCATATCGTGGAACTTCCAGTTAAGAGCTTTAATCCGCGATGTAAACACTCTTCCTTAATCTACGGGTCAGACAGAGATCGCCCTTTCACCAGCGTGGCTGCGTTCATCCGATTAAGCTATCCAGTTTGCCCTGACGTTCGTTACCTGCAGACCGATTCAGACATTGGTACGAAATGCTGAAAATAAAATTACAATGGCTACCAAATCTTCTACTTGCCTATTACTTCAGATTAATTCGCCTAAATGGATATAACAGGCACCAGTTGATTAATATGACATTTCAAATAAGCGATTGTTGTGTATTTAATTCAGTAAAAAAAAGAACTAATTAAACACTGATTTAAGATAGACAGCGGAATTATTTAGAGGGCCCATTTCTTTTTCTACAATACACACAACATAATGACCCAATTACATATGTAGAGATCTTACGTAAACAGCGGCTGGGTGGTTGATTGTCGCAGTGTTAGTGCATTTCTTGGTATTCCAGAGCGCGCAAATTTCAAAAAAAGGGGCAAAGCAACTGACGAAATTTTCGGAAAATTAATGTAGCGAATGTCATTACGGTAAATACAAGACAAGCTTTTGCGATAATGTGATTATTCGCTTTCAACAAGGGAAGCATCGGCAAAGTAGCGAGGATATTAGCCACTTCAAGTTTTAACCATGCAAGACAAGAAGTTCGTGAAAATTGTCAAGGATGGAGGCATACGAGACCGCAAAGCCTTGAACGGATCGAGCCATAATGATCGATTGGCTTGAATTAAGCTTTGGGTATTCGTGAGAAAGTCAAATAGATTGCTGAACGTCAAATTCTGCACACGAAAGTCTCAGAAGCTTCCCTCAAGGCCATACGGTCCTATTTTAAGATCATGGAAGTTAATGTCTGTAGAAAAATTTCAGTTCCTCGTTTCATTTTTCCATAGTGCCTCAGACTTTAATCTGGGTCAAGTGATCGAGATCGTTCCTTCCATTGGGAAAGCACGCTGTGCCATGTTTGTGGGAAGTATAAGCCGTTCGTTGCCAACGACTCGGCGATTCACAGAGCTTTCGATTTCTGATAGTACACCTTACCTCTTGTGCTGCCGACGCCGTCATAAATGATATCCCTGCGTTTGGCTCAATGACTTTTTATTGTTATACAGGCGCACTATGAGCTTTTCGAAAGCTTCGTCAGTTAATTTTACGTTTGTTCCTTCGATATAAATTGCGTGAGACATAAAAAAAAAACTGTCTTCTATCACAGGTATACATTATGGCGGGTTCAGTTTTTTACTCAACTAATATATATTCATTACGGTAACAATAACGCATTATTATAATTCAATTAAATTGACGTAGGTTACCGCGGTGATCAGGCTTTCTTGATCGCCACAGTAGCTGTGTATTGCACCCATTTCTATATCGGTCGTTGTAATCAGTTAAGCGTTGGTTCTTCTTAGATCTTCATTTTGGTCGCTGTCAGGTACTCCCTACTCAACCGTCTGCACTGCATGCTGTACATATGTAGTTTGTGCAAGAGTAATTATATTAGGCTGCACAAACCAGGTATCCTTACAGTGAAATATATTTGGCAGAAAAGTTGAGTTTCGCCATTTCTCCCTATCTACACTCTCGAATGAGCACCATGGAAAAGAAAGCGACGCTATTGTTTCTGTCAGCTCAAGGCACCGATGCAATTCCATGGCATTCGTTGATGCCAAAGTGTTTCAACGATCCCTAGGTTGGTTTACGTGTATGCGGGTGCACGTGTTTCGACGCTCGTTCAAGACACGCGCTAAACCCAAATTCATCTTAGGTAGGTGGCCATTTGGGTTAAATGGCTGAAAAGTTGAATAGCTGTCTCTTGTCAGCCATTACGCAACGACCCGTCGGCGTGCAAGATAGGTTGTCTCCGATGACCAACGGTTGATGAGGTTGACTTTTTGCTTGAGCTGCAATACTGCGGCTACCTATGCCGTACAGTGATCTTGGGTTTCTCTAGGGCTATAGATTAACTGTAGAGACGACTGAGCAATTAACCAGGGGATGCCTAAACGTGCTTATGCAACGTATAGCATAGCCTGTTAAGGCCTAAGCTTCCTACGCAAGCCCAAATTTTAAGGCACGTGGATTTGAAACAGAATTTGGAATTTGATAGAGATCTTTGATAGGTTCTATGTTGTTCCGTGCGAACTTACTATAGTATGTGATCTGTTACAAATCGATCATGTTTATCCGGCGAGACGTCTTCATCCCGCGACCTCTATCCTCAGCATCCAATGAAATTAATTCCACATCGTGCTACCCGGATCTCGTCACGACCTTTTAGCAAATTGTGAAATTGTCGCTTAAACGCGCAGCTGAATTATACAAATTTCGGCGTCCGACGCCGTCGAAGGCGTCCTAGAGTCATAACGGCCCCGTTCGTCATGATGCGTACTTTGCTGTCATGAGCGCATTTTTAGCGATAACGTCTACCCGCCATATTCAATAAGGTTGACGCATACGTATTTCCCGCGGAAGATTAACAGATCTAGGATAGAAAAAAAGGCCTTCTTCTGGAGACATCACAGCCACTATACGTTCGCATGCGTTACAGCCTAAATTGTCCTGTTCGGTCAATACTGTCTTTTCAATGACACTTTCCTTTTGCTCGGAAATATAAATCGTTATCTCTTTTGACTGGAACGGTATAGGGTGATTTGCTTATAAACTTCTCGTAGTACATTGATCACTGATACCCATTGATGGGTTTGCCGCTCGATGCTCCGTCACACCATTTTTGAGCGATGCTATCGTGATTGCCGTAGAGACGGCAAGTTATATCCCATGTATCTGACTTAGCTCCTGGCCGGGTTCACCTGTTTAAAACAGGTTATCATCAATAACGTTCGTAAGTTCTCCATTGCGACTTAAAATATTCCCTGTACCCTCACACCTCAGTATGTGCTGACAAAACTAGAAATACAATTCAGTACGGATTTAGTAATGCTCTGCGTGTTTAAGTATAGTGATAACAATGAAACCTCAGCATTTAGAAAGCTTTCCTGCTAGTTGTAGGCCACCCCTGACAATGATCTACAAATAATAATTGTTTTTTTTTATCGGTGAATTGATGTCCCTTGAAAACAATAAGGGTTGTTATTACTGTGACTGATTTATCCAAGCATAGTAAGCACGCTATATGATACGAACAGCTAAAGACGACCGACAGGGTCGATATATACACGCGAGACGAAACATCGCTGATGGTTATAGGTTACCTCACAAGTTACTTTACGACTATTTGTGGACGATGAAGTTTTCAGTTTATAACGGTTTATATCTCAGAGGTGAGCTTGTTTACTTGTCAAAGCAAAGAAGTTCCGATAAGCGACAGTGTGGCTCCCTTGTCGACCTGACGCCCAAAGGGAATTTTCTTATAGTAATAGTAATTATTAACTATTATAATCTGTCGGTAATATTCGACACTGCTATCCAGGCGCCAGCGAATTACACTTTTTTTTTGCACTTATTTTGTGCACACATTTGCACTTAAATTGAGAATGGAGATAAAATCGTAGTTTTGTCGTAATACAGCTCGTACTAGTCATTACTAGTCTTATACGTCACATACTGAGGATGGGGCACACGTTTTAAATCTAAAGCTGGATTCAATTTGCCGCTCATTAGTTTCGTAGCATCAACGAAAAAAAATATATATATATTAAAGCTTTCCGAAGATTTAGGTGAAGGGGTAATTTAACGCGCTAGTAGAACCACGTGGAGCGTTTGTGCTCGCGTAGTGGGCTGCGTGTTTGGCTACTAAAGCAGAGGAATACGTGGTAGTCTAGGTTCGAATCCGGGCATGGGTACCTTTCGTGTCATACTAAAAATCGGCCCTCTGAGCGCTTAATGGCATTACGGTTTGTATAACTCGAAATATTTAGGTACATATAGAAATCCCGAGTCTTTGCTTAGTTCAGTGTCCATGCTCTTTTTTTTAGAACTCTATTTATTCATTGTATAAACCAAAAGGCATCAGAAAGCGTGAAAATTCCAGATGCCAGCTGGGAAGTCCTAACGAGCCCTCCTATTTCCTTGCTGCAATTATTACAGTCAGCCACCTAACCTAAACAGTCTCGCAATATGTAACGAATTACTCAAATAATCGCGACATCGACTGATCGTCTCGTCTGGTCTTGTCAGTCACCAGCTTGAAGTTCTAAGCTTTAGCACTGTATAAGCCGAAGCAGCTGTTAGCTCAGGGCCATCGAAAAATCCCAACTGCAACGGTCGCTGTAGCTGTAGCTGAAGCAGTGAAACTTCCATTGAAATCGACTCAAGAGGAAACGACGTAGAAGTTTGTCTATCTGAACTCGACTGTCTGCCTACGTGCCTCGTCAGCAGAACCTAACCGATTTCACTAACGCAGACGCGAGGCCACTGCTGAAAAGGTGGCATGGAAAAAGTGCTGGTCCGACAGCTTCACTACCTATTCATCTTGGAGAGCGCACGTCCTATCCACGCATTCCTACCACCGAATCAGCTTTCGACTTTTCTATTATTGAGTCGGGTCTGTTTCGTCTCGTGCCGTAGCAAGATTCCAACTAATTACTTCTGGACGCTCTCGCCCAGACATTATAACCTGGCCATGTATTTAGCCTCGGTCCTAATTAGAACAAAATTAGTCTTGACACCATCAAACATGAGTATACAGGCAAATATCCTCCTGCATAAATCAGTCATCATAATTATTTGGATAATTCGAAATCAACAAAACCTAGAATAGTTACTGTTCAGGCACGGTTTCCCCTCGTCCGTACAGGCAGAATTATTCAGGACCCCTATATATCAATGGATCGACGGTCAAATTGCGATACTTTTGGTGGGTGTTTCATTGTGGCCGTTCACCTCATTGCATTATAGAAATGCATAGATTTGAAAAGAACTATCCAAAGAACCTTTTTGACGGCAATCTATGAGAGTGTTCAATTTATAAATCGAGTGTGATACTGAATATTTCGGCCAATTGCTCTAATTATCCTTCAATGGACAAACAATTATTGATTAACAAAATTATTATAAGGCACCATACGTTTCTAATAATGTTCCTATTATTTTTGTTATTAATCGGACTTTCCAGTTCATCGTACAATGGCTTATTTTTATTAGAATTTAGCTTTCAGTATTTAACGGAACAGTTCAGCCGAACGCGAAGTATGTGGTAAAGCGCTTTGAGTTCTACTGATGTTGCCTTCTTAAATATCATTGTGGACGGCATATGCTGTTTAATAGATTCATATTTTCACCAGAGAAACAAGTCAGTATCAACTATTTGCGAAAGTACTATTTTGTACCACAAATTCTCTTTCAAGCAGAACTAAGGCTTTGTTCTATAACGACTTAGCGGCATGGGATTCACCCTGACAGGCCCAGGTTGAACATATACTTAACCCGTATTAGAAAAAAATTAGCATAAAAATAGGTTGCGTAGCAAAATTCCCACAGGGTAATAAAAGGAAATTCGCAGGCAGATCTCAGCCGTCAGTATAAAAAGGACATATAGAAAAAAGTATCCAGCTGACGGGAAAACCGTCAACGTCTTTAGGTCTGGGAAGTTAGTGAAATCAAGAAAAAAATAAACGCCTTTTTTCGTCAAATGACCATTGGCGAACTGTCTTAATTTCACGACGATATCCTACGTGTTTGCAATAATGTACGAATAAATGGAATAGTGTTTTGTATAGTAGCGGGATGTCGCTCTTCGGTAGAGTATATTTAGGCCTTTTGCTCTTCACCTACGGCCCCAAGCAGCGTCCAGATGCATATCTGTCTACCTATAATTTCGGAATGGGCTTCAATACAGAACTAGCTTTAGACACATATTGCCCTTTTTAAGGAATGAGATTTAAGAGATGATTTAGAGCTATAGCGAAAGGGTTAAGACTTGCGGGGCCGCCTACAGCAAACGCTTTCTTGGTGCTCATAATGGTTACCTCCATTGTATTTGACTAAATGAAGCCCTACCAATACCCTGAATGTGCCTGGTGCGACGGTGACGAGTTCGAATAGAAGACTCGTAAGGAAAGAGTTGATACCTAACCTTAAATTGTATAACCAGTTCTAGTTATTCCGGTATAGATTCGAGCACGACTCTGCACGCTGAGATTTACTCGATGAAAATCTCAGCGTGCAGAGTCGTGATGATCTTCTAACGACTATTGTAGTGTTCTCTATCCCAAAATGGAAGCTTTGACGCGCAGTTCCTATGGAAGTTCGAAAGGGGTCCATCAATGACTAATAATTATTAGTTTCTGTTTCACGCTAACATCGGATTTGGTATGCTATTGTGTGTTGTTAGTGGCAATCTAATTTCACATCGTTTTATTTTTTTCTCGAGATTGACGGTTTTCTCAATTTACGTAGACTAGTATTGCGGGCCTTTAGAATAAAGTTCAACCACTGTCGACCCAGATCTCTGGTTTCCAGTACTACGCGTCAACAGGAGACATGGTAGATGCATGTCGGATCAAATAGCCGGGGTCACTCTGTGTTCTCTACCACACTAGACGAGCTGTATCCTTACATCTATGAGCCTATTCTAGTTGTAGCATTGTCTGTTTGCAGCTCTCTGGCCCTTCTTAGTTGGCTTAGCCGTTCTTTCTTTCTTTCTTTCTGAAACCCTCGAAGGCTGCCGAAGCCCAAAAATGGCCTATCTGCCTGTTGTGTCGCAAATGAATTTAGCAGTTTTAACCTATCGTTTGGCATATCCCGCGGGCCTTGGTTTTGGAGTCACCTTCAGGTTACCGCCCCGTTTAAGCCTTCATTCTACCGATGTATCTTGCATCTTCCAACCCATGACATACTAACACCATGCGAAGAGCATCCGCGCTAGTGGCAGTGAACGCACGTGTCAGGCGAAACCCAATCTGCGTAGAACTGATTAGAAGTCGCTGCGCTCTGGCAGAATTTGAGTGGCCTACCTAGTGCCCAAGATAGTATAACCATATCGTAATCTTCAGTATAAGATCTTTAGGTCCGGCCCTGGACTCGTTCGCTTGAGTGGCCGCTCGCTCTGCTTGTTTTATTATCAGAGCTGTGGCTTCTCGTTTTTTTTTACTCCTTTCGGTCCTGCTTTCCGGAGTCTTCGCCTTACTTAGCTTTCACATCCTACGACAAAGCTCTAACTAGGATTAGGGTCGCCGACGTGCCGACTGTTCCATAGGCTTAAAGGACTCGCATAGCCATAGTTCACAGCATTTTCATCATTTTATGAATCCTATTTTTCTGATGTAACTAGTTCGAGCCATATTGGTGAGCCAAAAAGACCTATTAGCTCAGCCGCCAATGTTCAATAGCCTTCTTCTCACCTTTTTAGGACCGTGTTGAGGAGGGTCCTAGCGTTTTTTGCTTTGTTGATTTTACCTTTGCTACCTAGTTGCAGGTTTAGATAGCTAGCCTGTCGATGGCTGTCGAATCCGACAGATGAAGAAGGATGTTTGATAGCTTAGTCAATTCACTCTAGCAGTGTCTTTAGTGCATGCATTGTCTTGTTTATCTATTCGAGATGTATATCTCAATAAACCAATAAAATGCTCATGAGGAACTCATACTTACCCGAAGCCCCGACGTTGTAAGACAGATTTGTTACCTTTGGCACACGGACGGACCACATTTCGCTTCGCATCACAGGAAGCTCAACCCAATTACCAGCTGCCGCCTTACGGAGTGGCTTGATATATAACAAGTCGGTGATGCTCGGTACGTCTCTCCAGAGAGTGCTATGAGAACGCTAACTGAAACCCTTAGGAAACATTTCATACAATAACGAAATTAGTACACCAATCGAATCGTCAACGATCTCGACTTGACCATGTAGCTAAGTAGTGACCTAGAGTACCTTCGTTATACGTATATATATACAGAGGCAATCTTTTGACAGTTGGAGAAGCAATAAAAAAAATCTAAAATGGTCAACACAGTTGACACTCAGCAAAGGAATCCTTATACCATTTATATGTTCCTATTCAGCTATTTTATAAATATATATAGTACAAGGAATATAATTAAATGCATCCTGGATGCAATGCATGCTAATGTTATTGTATTGTCATATAGCATTTGCGGGAGAAATGATATGGGGGTGACAATGTTATAATAAGATTCTATCTTTGTTGCCTCCTGTGACCTGATCAAATATGAAACACTCTCGAACCGTTTGCTCGTTCGAACCAAAGAGATTTTTGCCTTACCATGTGTATATTCTAGTTATACAACTATTATTGTTTATTCTATTCAATACATTTGACCGAAATATTTAACGTCAATCGCAAAACTAGCTAATAAAACTTCAAGGAATTTGGAGTCCTCTAAGCAGACCGCCTAACAACAGGTTGAAAAGATCATCTTGCGTATGGATATTTTAGGCACGCTCGGCCGAGCTGTTGTCAGCATGTCCTTCTTTCTATTCATCCGTTGAAAATGCGTTAATCAAGTTGCTTCGAAGAACCTGTCTTACAAGTACAATTTTATAATACGCTATATAGGCGTCGAGAACGATTCTACGCAGCATCGCGTCCGACATGACGGAAAGACTAATTCAGGCCTGCTGCTATTCGTGAAAATGCGGAAATGGCGAACGCCATTCAGTGACGCAACACGTCAATCCGGAGAACGGAATATCCGAGCAATAACTCAGAAACAATCCTGATATTCGGATAGGCCTTTTTCAAGCGCAAAACACGTTCAACGCTACAACTGTCCATACATAATGCCTTAACGATATATTGTTTCTACCATTATCTCCTGCCTTTCCGTTTTGATTCAGTTCTCCAATGCTGGTTATTATCCAAGCTGACTAGAATCATCTTAAATTAACAGATATGCTGTGTTTGACGGGTATGAGAGGGTTTGTAGGCTGTTGACAAATGGCATAGCGACCCACAGAGCGAATATAAGTTGAATGATACGATACGATACGATACAATAAAACTGCATCAACTTCCGTTCCGTCCCGTAGAAATAAGTTGCAGTGCACGCTATTTTATCGTTGATTATATCTGCTATGGCACCATACAAGTGGAATATTCGTAATCAAGGGCAAATTCAGTGTGTTGATTACGCAGAACTGGATGTTAGTGGTAGTAACAGAGTGCTAAATTTATAGCTGTAGTTTGCACAGGGCCGACAACTAGTATATAATACACTAGAATTTTTTATTACGGGTACAATTATCCTCGCGGAGAAGGCTGTCGAAATATCTGAGCTCTTAATAACAGGCTATTAGAGTTGGTAAAATGCGTAAGAGAGAAACAACACATTTTCAGGGCGGCTTCGAGCATTACCTTCAATTTATTTTTCGAGCCCCAACAACCGAAAGCATATGAAAATAGTCGGACTCATTAATCGTTGCTACCATGCTTTTTCTTTGCTAGAACTCAGATGTCGCTCAAATAGTCATATCTACATGGGTGAACATCTTTGTTGTTTGTTGACGTAAGATCTCGAAAACGTTGTCCGATACCTTAGGTGATGCTCTGCTAGCAACAAAAGCTTTTTTTGTTGAAAAAAAAGCTTTTCTCGAAAAAAAAAAAACAAAAAAAAAGTATTCTCGACGCATCAGCTTCGCTATTATGCATGAAGCCTTTACAGCAGTGCGCAAAGCTTTTATTGCCTACTCATATCTAGAGCAAGATCTATATGAAAATGAATAACGTGTCCCCTGTGCTGTAATTTCGCAATTTTAGGACTTTTATTAGATAAAAAATATATATAGGCAAAACTATACTTGTGCAACAACAACAACGAAGTGATTCAACTAAAATAATTTATGAGGTATGACCGTATTGAACCCCTATAAAGTTTTTACACTTATGCATGAGTTCTAGTACGGACAAATGTGTCAGTTTATTCCTGCGAAGCGCAGAGTTCGCTCTGAAAGTGTGAGAATCCTCCATGGCTCGACTATCGAAACAGGGGGGTTCGTAGTGTTAATGTGTGCTCAGGCGCTGATTAAAGCACCAATAAAGAGCCGTAAGATTTTTTTCTTGTTCTAATTATTTTGGAAAGAATATTTCTACGCCTAGAAAGTCTAAACAAACAGCTTGTTAAATCAATAAGTGCCTCGTCACACGTCTGAAATACTCTACCGAAAATAGCGTTTATCGTCATTTTTTGGCACATCGATCATTATTTGTTGCTTTTGCCAATAAAACGTTCGCAGACGCCTGCTACCCTTTGGTCGCGCTTGGTGTCTAAGATGCATCCGTAAATACGACGATATGTCCATTCGTGACTATACTATAATAGTAGGATATTTCAATGAGATATTTTTTAGTTAGTCTGCCCGCATACCTAAGTATTTTCACGATATAGCAAAGTAATTGGAAGAATTTAGGTTCTCTTTTGGACGAATTTGTTTAGCTTAGTAAGCAAAAAGAAGCAAAAATTGCAGGCAAAACCCACCAGGTCAATAGCAGCGAGGCCTATTGCATATTTGTGCATCGAATCAGAACCTTTTCCAGGACTCAGCTTTTTAGTTATTGTCTCCGTGTGAGACAATAGTGTATTAAGCGAAACAGCGTATATCTTCAGTTTATAACGACATTCACAGTTAACTCTATATATAGAGGATATAAGGCTAGTTAGTAAGGCATGTAAAGATTGAATAGGAACAGAGTTGCTTGACTCAATCCAATGATGCTGTTAATATAATCTAATGTTACTATAACCTAAATATTTATTGCCGAACTGTTGAAGATCGAAAAAGTAAGTTAACCAAACAAATAGCCAACTTACAGTTAGTTATTTCGATAGATATGTAAACTGCAACTTAAGCGAACGTTCTACCGAAAGCTTTATTTGTTCTCGAATAAAGATTAAACGTTGTTCAAATCTTCTCGTACCTAGTCAAAATGCTATCAGTAATGTGTACGCACATTTGATCTAAGCCTGTGGCTGCATAGCATTGACAGATGGCTTGAAATAGCCACAGATCGCAGACTACAGGTTCCACCATTATACAATGGATAGATGATCCTCGTAAGACCGAGTATCTCGCGTGTTCAACTGTTCTAAATGTACCCCAGTTATGTATTTCACTCATTAAATAGATTTCTTATCCCTCTCCGAAAACAAATGTACAGACATCCTCGACGAGCAAGCGAAGTAGCATAAGCTAGCTACAAAGCGATGCTAGCGCTTAAAAAGGCTTTCTCTGACAGGTAAAACCTATCAGACTTTGATTACGTGCTTACGCAGTATAGGCACGCAGAGCTTTCTCGCATTTTGGGTTAAGCTGCACGTTTATCGTATTCCTAGCCGAGCCCTTTCGGTGAAAGTTTCTTTTTTGCACTAGTCTCGCGTGCATCTATAGATTCACACGTGGACGCATTGGTATCTACAGAGATGTTGAGTTTCGAGTATTGAAAAAGAAGACGAAAATGGCCAAAATCTCACATTGCCCGTCATGTTCGCAACGAAGAAAGAGAAAGGATATGCTGCGCGTTCGTCTGTGCTTCAGTGAGCAAAGCCAGCATCTGAGAAGCTTATACCGGTAGTTTGTCGCAGACGACCAAGTCAAGCGAAAAGTGCAACTTTGGCTTTGCCTGCGCAAGTATTTGAAGTTTGGCGGGGAAAATCCTGAGGCGGAGGAGTAAAAGTTGGTCGGCGCTCGGAAGACTCTGTGCCAAATTCGAAATAGGAATTCGAGGACATAGTGCTTTGAATTAATGAAATACAAGGGAAAACATTGTAGTTATTTATAAAAGACACGAACGAAATTGCAAGTACGTGCTGCAAAACTCAACCATACAGCATATTTGTGGTCAATAGCACATTAGGTTTGCCGTGCCCTGAATCCTTGCATAGATCGATAGACGTTCAAATATTACAATATTAATTATAGAACATATAAATGATATGAACAGTTATTCATAGGATAGGATAGGAGAACAGGATTCATAGGGCAACTCTTCTAGACTGCGCAGGAAACAGTATTTAGCAGTCCATCAAGTGGAAAGATTGCGTGCATTGTTAGCCTTTTAAGCTTAATTCTTTCGGTCTAGACTTAATCGATATCTCGCAGGAACACCACCATTCCCTAGTGGCCCACCCTTCGCCGTTTTCGGACAGCATCACCGACAGATGCCGTCTATAGGCATCCCTACGCGTCAAAGCGTTCTGCTGTAGATCGCTTCCATGACAAAGCCAGGGAGAAAGCCCCAGTGCCACTCCCTGTTTTCGACCGTCCAGGCTAAGTTGTCCTAGGCTTCGGCTTGATACCGACGGTCATTTCCACGGGAAAGGGGCCAGGGGCCCATTGTTGTTGTAATCAGTAGGATGTGACCCGGCCGGCCAATGGAATGCAGGACGTAACAACGAAGTATATATATATATATTATACACGGCCCGAAGTGGACTGCTGCGGCTATCCTACGCGTAACTTATCCCACATTTTCGGATAGACGTACATTGGCTCAGAAAATGCTACGCGGGATGCTACTAGCTAACACATGGAACAGCATGATCAGTATCTATGACCACGAAGCTATATGATGCGGGACGGCAGCTTTCTCAACCTCCAAGGAAAGCACGCAGACAGATAGATCGCCGTTGTGTGCTATGTCTGATGATATCTGAACTGGTAAAAGGTCATCGCGCTGCTTGCATTTCTCACAGGCGGTAAACAATACAACATAGTAACAGACTATGTAACGGCAGTTGTCGTATACTTTGTAAGAAGTATAGGTTCTGTAATACTTTATTTATCTATATGGTGCTGCGATGGTAAGGTGTTTGCCTCATGTAACTGGTAGGACCGAAAGGTTTGAATACAGATGCGACACTTTCCCCATAACAAAACCCGGCGAAAACGCTTTCCGCCGACCTCCCCAGACTACTTGTATTGAATTGCGTATTCTAATAGCTCCTTAAAGCAGCACGAAAACATCGGCGGCACAGTTTGTCGCAGAAGGCCTGTTGTCCATACCATTGAGTTTAGCTAAAATGATTTGGATCTGCATAGGTATCTAACAACGGGGATCTCAATAATAAGGGCTTATTATAGGCATGCATTACTGACGCAGGTCGAAGATTAAACAATGCAGCTTGCTATGTCAAGGCTGGTAGCAATGTTTAGGTGCCAGATGGATAAGGAATACCAAAGCGCTTTGCACGTAATCGCACAGCGACTGGTAGTAGTAGTAGCACACGCTGATCTATTGTTCTTGTCAATTGTTTACGCAGGTGAGCGTGCATACAGACGTGCGTAGGTACGTAACAGCAGTCATGCTGCATGCATGCCGCCATTCTTTTACGGAGGTAATTGGGAAGCCAAAAGTGCGATACGCGCAGTTTTGTTCCAGCCGAATGAATATTTCCCGACTTTTCACCAACAGATTGCTCAAATTAAATTGATCCAACAAACCACATGGAACGATTTATAGAGGGTAACGATACTGCAAAAAAAGTGCCGTCTTCAATTGAAAAGAACAGGGCCACTGTTTCGTTAACATTGATCGTACGCTTGCAATCGGCAGTTGTTAACATGCGTACATCTGTTTAGTGCACGCACCGAATAGCGTAAGCATCCATATGCAAAATGCAACGCGGATCACAAAAGATTCCTATTTGACAAACTACATCGGACTGGATTTTTTGATGTTTTTTTACAAATCGTACTTTCACTGTTAATACAAATTATAGCTTAGATAAAATCAAATTCACAAAACAGTCACTCGAACATTCGTAAAGCTTGTCGAGATCACAGCGAGCGAATGAGTATTGCGAATCATCGATAAATAATAATATCCTGCACTTATTTAGTGCGAAATTAAAAACGTACTGCCGTAGCCATCTTTAATCCCGTCAGACCATTTATAGATCTTTGTTTCAATATTCTGGTCAGCAGAGTCATGGGCTTGTTATTAGCACCTTACTCCTAGCACTAGGTTCGGCCTGGTTCGTGTCGGCTTTTGTTTATCAGTGTACGTTCTATTTCCAAATCACGTTCTTCTAAAACATCCCGGCCAGAATATGGGAGACAATATTGCCGTAAAGTTACTTCGTGAATGAACGCCATTCTTGCCCTATGAATTTCGTAAAAAGCTAGAGATTCATACATTGCGTAGATCCTATTGCGTTCTTAATTGTGCAGGCACGCTCGGTAGGCATACACGCTAAATATACTACGGGTAGCCTTAGGTAGTTAGAAACGAATAAAGGCGAACAGCTAAACCAGTAACGTGTCCCGGTTCGGTCGATATCATAGATTAGCAATATCATAAGCATATGTCGCCCGTCAGCGGAATTGTAGTCGGGAACTTCTGCAAGCTTCGGACAATTTTCTATGTTACATATCTAAGCATTACGTACACAAGACGAAGTCGATTTCCATATGAAAATAGATACTTCATTTTCGGCCAATCGCAGGAGGTAATACTGTGCTTTCTTTTGAAGGCATGCGTTCAGGTAAAGGTGTACAACAAATTTACCGACTTGGCGCAGTTAAACTTCTATTTTTCGTAATATGTTACGTGTGTTTTATGCAGAATTATTCATATACATTCATGAAATTCTCATGGAACGAATATTGCCTCAAAAATACCTTCAACAAAAACCTAAATGTTTTTATTTGTTCTGTAATTCTATTGAATATTGTATTTGGTCTCCATTTTTTAATACTGCTAATAATTTTCTATAGCATTTAATTTTATCATTTCAACACATATTGATATTGCTATATCTAGATGTCTTCTATTACACCATAACGCGCTCAACCATACGCTTGTGAATTGTTTGCTGAAGTATAGTCCGGCGATGAAGATTATCAGATAAAGAAGACAACCTAAAATAAAAGCATGTATCTACGGAAGTCATTACCTTGTTAATCTCGCTAGTAATGAAGAGCGACAACGTGGAGAAGGTCTTGCCAAGAGAGGCGCCATATGTAGCACTTTGTCAAACAGTTTCGGTTGGGCGTCTATACAGCAGCTTACAAACGTCATAGCATATGTCAAACACAGGTCAGGAAACTATCCAGGACGAAGTTCTCTATCGAGGCCCAAGTCTGCGTGTTTAATCGAGTGCGGCAAATTCAATTTTGACATGGGTGGCCTATGGTGGTTCTTTCCCGATCGTCTACAGGCCAAATCAAAGACACGGGGAAAAAAAAAGCAGTAAGAAAACAAGACGCGTACAATCGCAGCTAAACGGAAAAAAAACAGGAACACTAACTTATATTCAAACGTCATTCGACTTCAGCTACGCTTTGGCAATATAGCCTCGCGTTGCCCATAATAAGAAGCTTCTATATACATCGAACGCCAAGCGGCGGTACCGGAGGTTAGAGTCGAAATGTTTAGTACAAGTCTAGCCATATATGAACGAATTATATATTGAAAAGTAACCTTTTAAAGCAGTTCAATCGTTAACGTTGGATCACCTTGAATGTACGTTTTGCGGAGCATTAGTCGTATACATGTACATTTAGCCAGATCCCTGGACTGCCATTACATTACAGAACATTTAGAAGGCTATGGATACGTTAATTCAGTTTCGAAAACAAACAGATGACGATCATGGAGTACGCGGACTGAAGAGTAGTGAATAATGTAGATGTGCGTAGCGAACTAGTTTTGACAATGATGCTACAGCCGGCAGAGATGTATTTCTTTAAAGCGGGTTCATGATCAGGTAGATAGTTCTTGATCTGTGGGGCTTACCTACGCATCTCTCCAGCAGGTCTACGAAACAGCATGGTAACAACGGGATATAGTACGAATTTAGCAACGTTCAAATTTGTGCTAGCGATGGCCGCATGTTTGTGCTTACCATGGAGGTGCCTTCAAAGAGGTACTCATCAGCCACCCATGCTACGCCGTTCCCTGTCAGTGATAAGGTGCTATACAGTCACAAATTAGGGCGGTCGTAAATGTCAATGCTGCGCTAGGTTAACATGGTTAAAAATCACAATTACTAACTCTTCTCAGCATTGAGAAAATCGCATCGATCAGAACTGGAGTAGATTTTACGCGCCAAGTTTGTCTGCTGTCCTATATAAAGAAAGGGAAGCCAATGTACTAAGTATTGACAGCTATTTAGACTGACGTGCGCTAATGACCGAGGAGAGGGTAGGCAGTGAGTATTTCTGATGGTTCTTTGCGCTGATCGTACGGGGCCTACCAGGTTTAGGCTATCCTTAATAAGGCATCGTTGTCCCTCTGGTACGATGCAGACCACACCACAATTCATATTGCACGTTGTATGATGAGCAGTGATTCATACCGCAAAGCTCATAGATGCATAGAATACACGTAAAAAACTATGTGATGATTTTCCTTTATTAGCTCGGGGGACGCTAATGACTGTGACCTGGACGGAACAGTTCTTTATGCCCGGAGTGGAGTAGTTCCGCAGCTCTGTCATTAGATATTCAAGGAGCAAAAGCCACCTGATTCTCTCGATGGAGGCGAGCAATGCGTAGTATGACATATAGTATTGTGGATAGGCCAAAGGAATACATACCTAATATTCACAATGAACTGCTACGTCTCTGAAACAATGGTACACAAGGTTATCGAACCCTGTCGCAGAAGCACGACATGTGAGCGACACCACTGAAAGCATGCAAGTTGTTACCTACAAGGGACGACTGGTTCTGCTAGTAGACAATGGACGCATGTCTCTTTCCGCCTACGGTGAGACAACATCCTATCCTGTTTAGTAAAGGTATTTTTAAGTGTAGATGAGGGGTCTCGAACAGAAATAAGATAGGTCGTATATGTTGATTTCGAGGAACCTTATAACGTCGTATATTCACAAATTATGACTATACGTATACGTAGCGTATTGTTCAAAACGATGCTAAGACAAATACTACTGCGAAACAGGTCCTACTTGGGATGCGCACCTTGTACAATAGCGCATTATAAGATGGGAATAGCAAAGCTATTGGTGCGCCTCTAAGCATTTCTCTGACATAGATTTTGTTCCAGATACGATCTTTGGCTTGCTAAGACGATTGCGAGTTGGCGTTTACAGACCAGCTTCTTGAGTCCTGTTTTAGACGTCGTTGTCGTCTACGTACCCATGTTAAGCAGTTGCGGTCAACATTGTCTCGCTAAAAAAGTGCAACGATTCATTAATTCATTTGGCGAAATTTCATAGTTGTAGGCTGAACAATTATATGAATTATTAAATAGGCAAATAACAATTAAAGATAAATAAAAAAAGAAAAAAAAAACACTAGTTACTTTGTCGATATCAGCCGCGAAGGGCTTTTGATGTAAATCACCTTATACGAATGAGCTCGTTGTTATATTGACGAAATGTACCTAATGGTCGTGTGGCCCTGTTCGAGGTCGGTCAGTACTCGCTCCCAAAGGAAGAGACACGCTAAAAGGTAACATAACTTACGCGTTCTGTACTTCCCTATCTACAGTTCGTAATATTTCCAATAATTTGATACAATTAGAGAAGATACCGCACGTTCGAACTGATGCGGTGACATAATTGAAATAGCTAATTCGGACGGTCGTTGCAATAGGAACCACAGACAACACTGCAATTTGCAATCGCAGGTTTGATTGCATTTTGCTGTAGTGGTCGAAACAGCCATGCTGTTCTATATATATATATATATAGAAAAAGACCAGAGCAATTAACGTTATCTAAGGGTGACACAAAGGGAAAATGACGGGCTACACATGTCCATGGCGTGTTCCTTGAAACGATGCTTACACGAATTTGAAGGCACACCTGGATAATTCGGCCATTCAATATCTTCATTTTGCTGTTGTTGTTAGCCGAGGCTTTTTTTTTTTTTGTTTTTGACATAATTTCACTTCTGCATACGCGCAGAAATTAGTTGGTTAGTATTTATAGTTTCCATTTCTGAAGAGATTTGTGGCGTTTTTCTTATTTAGCCTTGTAGAAATATTGTGTGTTCACACAGCTATCTTGCCATAGCTCTAATTATGAATATTTTATTAATAATTTATGTTTATTTTACCGGGACCATTTGCGTTAGGTGTCGCGAGTGGTGAGCGAATATCGATCACCGTACTGAGAAATGTTAATGATGTTGTTTATATTTGACGTTCGTCAAAGAACATAGAAACTAATCATATATAGACCTTGTAGTAACTACCTGTGTGCTTAAGTCTAACTTGAATAGAATTCATTTTACGCCAAAAGATTACACTTTTTTTTCTGCGCATTGGTTTGGAATAGCCACTGGTTCAAGCCCTGTCATCAGCAGTAGCTAGGGAACATTTTCTTTTTATACCGGTAGCAAGTAGTTCGATGTACAATTGACTTGTAAGCCGTTTCAGTAGAAAAATTCTAGTATCAATTAAGCGCTAGCGAAAAGCTACACATTTGTCTATAAAGATTTTTCATGTCCAACTGCATGCCAGACGTAAATCCCTTCTAACACAACTTCATTTCAACATGTCTACGTTTTTACGCAATTTGAAAATCCTCGCCAATCTAAATGTATTCAAGTCTAATATGTTCGTACACCTAAAAACCATCGCACTGTAAAACTGCAAGGTTGAAGCCGCCCGTTTGACCCTGTTCTACACGGTGGCTTTGATTGAACTTAAAAAACTCCCTCCCATCTGGCTCACGCTACATGGCCGTGCTTGACTGTTCTGATTGGTGACAATGCTTTTCGTGAACCTGCTCTGCAAGGACGTCACATGCTCCGATGGGCTCGATGGCCCACGTACTTCCGGATATTGCAGGGGCTCTAAGTCGCGTCTTATTCGTTGCTTCAAGCTCCACGGAAGCACCAACGAACAGACAAGGAACAGTCGCCTGCAGGCTCGCCGTAGACGTCCTAACGCCAAAATGATCAAACCAACAAATTCAATATTTTCCGAAGGTTCCCGTCAACTTTTGTTTGATAACTGGGTCACTTGAAATGACTTGTCGTCTTTTGTGACGCAGCCTAGCTAATGAGCGCTATATGCTGCTGTATACTGTGACTTTGAGGGGTCAGTATTTCAATGGGCAGTGATGAATTTAAAAGCAACAGAATATTTTAGAAGTACGGGAACGCTATTGTTTGCCGTTATTATCTACACTATGGTTACCTAATACCGCTTGATTTCATTTATATATTGCCCCGACACTACATTTAAGATTTGGTCTTCATTGAAGATAAACCGGTAGAGCTAGCGGAAGTTTCTACTTCGACGCAAGCTGTCGACGGCTCGATTTTTGTGCGTTACAAGGGCATCAGGGCTTGGAGCGTCGCGGACGATCATTCAACCGAAAATACCACGAGTGCAGATACTTATACAAATAAACAGCAGCTTAGGCTGAAACGATGTGGAGGGAGAGGGAAAACGTAGAAGCACAGATATTTGCCACGGATCGTTGTCATCATATTATCTGTGCATCATTTTGCAAAGGATGTCAACCGTTCTGAAACCTAAAAAAATCCTGGCCTGAAAATACCTAAACGATAATTCGCTAAATACCTGTATACGATGTTGAGAGGCTGTATGACTAGGCGAAATTGCTTATATTTCGCCTGTGGGACTCTTTCTTCAACCCAGCCAGCCTAGTAAAAGGTAAAGACAAAATACGGATGTGTTCATGTTAATGTAAGCGAGTTAGCTATTTGCAGTTAGTCCTATACGGGAAATTGCCTGTGGCTTAGTGACATAACGGCAAAAACGTCTTTGTTTAACAAAACTAAAAATATATACGTATGCTTAAATACAGTTTTCGGCTATGACGAAGTCCAGTTCTCGAATCAAAGATTATTATTTTGATCCACCTGCTGCTGTTGAAGGCAGCTCCTCAAAATAGCAGTCAACCACTCACCACTAATTGTTAAGGATTCGCTAATTATTTCCATCTCCTCCTAGACAACGATTTCCGATTGACCAATTCAACATTTTTTCCAGCCGCCTCCGTTATGTTTCGGCTTTCGTTTGGATACGCTGTAACTGTTTTTTAGTTATTTGCCGTTCAGTATTTCTAAATAACCTGTCTTTTTGCAGGCCTCTTGCTACTAAGGTATGAAACCAGGTTATCTGACAATGCCTTTTGAAAAGAAGTGGACGAGATGACGCATAAACTGCAACAGTAGGCACTGATGCGGATCAGATAGAAATTTCATTTGCTCATGCTGTGATAGGCACAATCTTTACTTAAACAGATGTTTTGTCCTCCAGCCTGCCAGCGGGACGACACAAAATTGACTTCGTTTTTCTTTTCTATGAAATAAATATACATAGATGATGGCGTAAATTGAGAGAAATAGAAACGCAACTGCTGTTTAAGTTGTTCTAAAAACGAAAACGCTTTAAACAGTAAATTTAGTCAAGCTGCCTATCGAGAAGAAGCCAGTAAGATTAGGGATGATTTCTATACAGCTAACTCTGTGATTTCAGTTCTCTTACCGTTGGGTCGCCAGTCTTTAGCGTCTGCTGTTGCCCGTCATGATCGTCCGTCAATTTTGCAACATCGAACCAGACGCGGCCCTCTGCTACTGCGACTATCTCTGCTTGGGTTGCAAACACGAATGGGTGGCCGTACACACACACACATTCAGATTTTATCAACAGCCCAATAACGACCCTAAAATTTAATGCGTTTCATTTAGGTGACTACCTTAGGTGGTGACCTTAGGTAAGATCAGATAGCCAAAATACAATAATACACGATACGGTTTTAGGTCGTATTATACAAGTGCAATCATACCAGTTGTCACTTGTATTACTGTGTTACGCGTATTTGCTTTCGTTTCATAAAAATATGTTTCGGTCTACTATTCATACGCAAGCAGCTCAGTAAAAATTCGCTCCTTTATAAATATATCACGTTTCATTAAATGGTCTCTGGTGTATCTAATTTTTAAAAAATGAGTTCGCTTCGAAAACTGTTAAGTTCAACGCCGAGCTAATTTCTCTTGGCTTGAGCTCCGCAGAGCAGTGTCTATTTGCTGTGCTCTTCACCGACATCCTCAACGGACGCAGATAGGCGTATTGATTTTGTAACCGAAATTATGTCGAGGCGCTGTGTCAGCGAACGTGGCGAACCTGGACTTGCAGAAAACGAACGCGCATACAAAAATTGTCGATATTCGACTTGTGCCTAAATAAACCATGGATAGTAGTTTATTTTATC